CACAGACATTCAGCAACACAAACTTTTTAGCGCTGCCCCGCAATTTTATCAATAAAATAGCTTAATCGCTCAAGAGCTACATTATCTTTCTCAACAAGGAGCTGGTAACATCATCGTTTCTAAAGGAATTAAAGCCACAGCTTCACTGTTAATAGAGAAATGTGACAAAACGGTGGTAATTCATACATACACAGCCTCTCTCTCTCTCTCTCTCTCTCTCTCTCTCTCTCTTGTGTAAATAAACACTTGATGAATTACACTTTTCTGAGAATAGAATATTGAAGTGGAGATCGCTAAACTGCAAGCTTACCGCTGTTTTCAGAAAGCAAGCGCGTTTATCCACAGTGGAGAGAGAGCTTGTGTGCACATGGTTGCCAGGTTGACAAAGATAAGTAGCACGCTTAGCAGATATTTCCGTATTGTGCAAGTGTGAAGCTCTGTTTCGGGGATTACGTCTCTTTATATCAAGCAAGTCCGGTTGTGTTCCTCTGCGGCCAGATTAAACCTTGTTGTAACCTATATATTATGCTCTATTCATTATTTTTTAGAAACCTCACACTTTTCTACTCCATTTTAAATGGTGCTGTCTTATTCAAATTAAGCGCGGTCCACTGCTGCACACATGCCACAATATCGATACAGGGCCAGCTGTATCGATACTCATATCGTCAAATCTCTGTGACGATACATCGTTGTATCGTTGTATCGATGTATCGAACACAGCACTAGTCTTGACCTACTATGCAGTATTTTCATGCAGTGTTTGTGTGTAATAATCCAGGTGGGCAGGTTGTGAACCTGATGAACCAGCGCTTGCAGACTGGATTCAGTGAGACGGAGGTGCTGCAGATCTTCTGTGACACATGTGAAGCTGTCGCTCGACTACATCAGTGCAAAACCCCCATCATCCACCGGGACCTCAAGGTATGAACTCTACACCTTTATTATTCTAAGAAATAAAATAATCTGTAATTTAGTCACCTCCATGTTGTTCCAAACCCGTATGACTAGGTGCAGGGTTCGTACGGTCATGAAAAACCTGAAAAAGTCATGGAATTTCAAAACAGCAATTTCCAGGCCTGGAAAGGTTTTGGAAAAATCAATGAACCCAGAAAGTTTTGGAAAAGTCAGGAAAATTATTTCACAAATATCTGTGCAATAGAATACATTTTGAATCAGATCGGTGTGGGATCGCGCATATATCGCCTAGTTTTACTCAATCCCACAGGTTTCGCATTTATAATGCTGGAAATTGCCGCAAACATTTATTTAATATAGCATGTAGGTTAGATGTAAATAAATCCACACAGAATATCAGATGGAATCAGTCACAAGAGTGAATCAGCGGTACCTCGTCTTCTCTCTTCTTCTCTCTTTGACCCTCTTCACACTGTTGCATCATCACAAAACTGTATCATTTGCACATCTTTTTAAGTCCTTTTAAACCATTCGGTAGTGGCACGCTCCACAAAGGTTTTCTGTGCGCTCACATCCAAAGCGTTTGGACATAAAGCCGCCTCGCAAACACCTCACGAGTACCAAATTGAATTATTGTTCGCAGCTTATTAGGCTTAAAGGGGTCATATGATGCGATTTCAATTTTTCCTTTCTCTTTGGAGAGTTACAAGCTCTTGGTGCATAAAGAAGATCTGTAAAGTTGCAAAGACTAAAGTCTCAAATCCAAAGAGATATTCTTTATAAAAGTTAAGAGTCAACCACGCCTACCTAAAACGGCTCGTTCTAACATGCCCCCACATGTCTATGTCACTATGTGGAAATATTAGCATAATGCGGCCCAAATGTGCACGCAAAGAAAGAAGGTGTGGTTTCAGTAACCGCAGTTAGTGTTGAAGCAGCATGTCAGGGAGACGCTGTGTGTTTCAGTGCGAAAGCAAAAGCACTTTATTTGGTCTTTCGGAAGTAGATGCATTTAGGAATCATTGGTTAAGATTTATTTACAACAGAACAGCACAACCCAGATGTTCGAATTTGTGCAACGCATTTTATGAACGACAGTTTTTTGAATTGTCAAAGGAGGGACTTTGTTGAAAACGAAGCGTTTGAGAGAGGCGGGGCATAGAGGACCTACAATAATGTAGAGTATTTGAAAAATAATGTGTTTTTTGAACATTAAAGCATGTCAGCATATTCTGTTACACCAAATACACAAAATAATGATCTTTAAAATAGCATCATATGACCCCTTTAAGCGGCCAAATACACACAAAATTATGTCAAAATGCCCATCCTGGCGGGTATCCTCATAAACACAGTCAGTTTTGTTTTAAGTGAATGTAAGCTTGAGAAAGAAAACTTGTGTGTATCAGAATATTGGATCCGTGCAGTCGGTCTTAAAGGGACAGCAGCCTAATAAAGCGGTGCCATCTGTAATTAATGTTAATCAAACAACAAAAGACAAAAAAAAAACAAAAAAAAAGATAAATCGCTGCTTTTGACTTATAAACTTTTGTAACTTTAATTTTAAGGATTAATCTGTTTTTAATTTACAGTTTATTTAATTTCTGCATATTTCTGTACCTGAATGCTACTGTTAGACCTAAACGGTTCCCTAAATGAAATTCAGGTCCTGAGTTTAGTTGATAATATTGGTTAAATAAATTATAATATTCAGTGATGTGATGATATGTTCTCTGCGTCTGGCACAGTTGCAGATTGTACTTATTATTAAAACAAATAGAAAGCAAATAAGTAGCATTAATAGTCATTAATTTTAGTTAACATATGCTATGATATATTTGAACATAGATATTTATTCTTATTTTACATGTATACTTGTAATAATAATGGAACATTAGGTCATGAATATTGTAAAAGTCATGGAAAGTTATTGGTAAAAATGTGTACGAACCCTGAAGGTGAAATTTTGAATAATTTTTAGGCTGTTCTTTTCCATTCAACTAAAGCATAGAGAAACCTATGGAGGCCAATTTCTGCCACTGAATAGAAATAAAAAAGGTAATTGCAACTTTTTATCTTACATTTGACTTTTTTTCTCGCAATTCTGACTTTTTTTCTCTGAATTACGTGATATAAACTCACAGTTGCAAGTTATAATGTCAGAATTGCGTGATAGAAACTCACAATTCTGAGCAATAACGTCTAAAAAAATAATTTTTCCTCAGAATTGGACTTTGACTCGCAATTATGAGTATATCTCACAATTCTGAGAAGAGAAGTCAGAATTGCAAGGTATAAACTCGGAATTGCGAGAAAAAAAATCTCGCAATTCTGATTTTATAATGTGCACTTGCAACTTTATATCATGCAATTCTTAGAAAAAAAGTCTGAATTGTGAGATAAAAATGTCCAATTACTTGTTTTTTTGTATTCAGTGGTGGAAACCGGCCTCCATAGAAAATAGTTGAGTCCAGCCTGGTGTGACATGTCTCGATGCTAATTCTAATATTTTTAAATGTATCGAGTGAACGATTCCTTCAATATCTGATTTTTTTGCTTATTATGTTTGTACCCTTTTATAATTTTAGCCATCTTAGAGCTCATTTGTGATGTTAGAAAACTATTTCAGTTCAGCTTTACAAAAACTAGGGCATATCCGACTGTAGCACAGATGTGTGTGCTCTCTTTGTGTTTTTTTAGGTGGAGAACATCTTACTGCATGACAGAGGACATTATGTGTTGTGTGACTTTGGCAGTGCCATTAACCGCTCCCAGAACCCACAAACAGAAGGTGTGGCGGCTGTAGAAGAAGAAATCAAGAAGTGAGCACTGGTTTATTGGTTTACACACCACAGTTTTACGTGTTCGTATCAACTGAATCTTATACTCTGTGTGTGTGTGTGTGTGTGTGTGTGTGTGTGTGTGTGTGTGTGTGTGAAGGCACACTACTCTTTCATACCGGGCCAGAGAACATCTTACTGCATGACAGAGGACATTATGTGTTGTGTGACTTTGGCAGTGCCATTAACCGCTCCCAGAACCCACAAACAGAAGGTGTGGCGGCTGTAGAAGAAGAAATCAAGAAGTGAGCACTGGTTTATTGGTTTACACACCACAGTTTTACGTGTTCGTATCAACTGAATCTTATACTCTGTGTGTGTGTGTGTGTGTGTGTGTGTGTGTGTGTGTGTGTGTGTGTGTGTGAAGGTACACTACTCTTTCATACCGGGCCCCAGAAATGGTGAATCTATATGGGGGTAAAGTTATCACTACTAAAGCAGATATATGGGTGAGTCAAAGAGGTGAAGACTGCTAGAGAAAAATTCAGCAGCAGCCAAAGCTTTTTTCTCTGTAGTTGATTATTATATGCATAGCATTTTGAAACATCACAAAGGGGGTTTGATGACTCTTGCTCATTTGTGTCTTCAGGCTTTGGGCTGCTTGTTGTATAAGTTGTGTTACTTCACTTTGCCGTTTGGAGAGAGTCAGGTGGCCATCTGTGACGGCAGCTTCACCATCCCAGACAACTCCCGCTACTCGCACGACATGCACTGTCTCATCCGTAAGTGCAGCTGATGATTGCTTGTCTGTCATGCAGAATAAGGCAGTAATATTTGCTTTATAAGGACTAATAAACAGCCAATATGCTAGTAATATGCATGCTAATAATCAACTAGTTAATAGTGATCCTTAATCTAAAGTGTTACTGTATTTTCACTTACATAATTTGGTAAAAATTACAGCTTGATTGGAAATAATGTCAAAAAATATTCTGTTCACGTGTGTAAATGTTTGTATTAATAAAAATACAAGTATTATTAGGGGCAAAACTGACGGTGGGACAACTAAGGACAGTCATCATTTTTTGAAAAATGCAATTTTTCACACATTAAATATTAAAGTAGTTTGTTTTTCAGTCTTTGTTTAGATTATTGTAGATTTAAATGTTTTGTATGAAAAAAAAATATTATGCACTCTACTGTTCAAAGGTTTGGGATCAGTAAAATTATTATTATTTTTGTATTGTTCCTCAAGGATTAAAGCTAAAGCATTAAATTAATCAAAAGTGACAGTAAAGACATTTATGATGTTACAAAAGATTTCTATTTCAAATAAATGCTGTTGTTTTGAGCAACATTTGTCCTGAAAAAAACAATGCAGCAGTTTCCACAAAAATATTATGCAGCTTAACTGTTCTCAACATGGATAATGATAAAAATGTTTACTGACCACCAAATCAGCATATTAAAATGATTTGTGAAGGATCATGTGACTTGAGTAATGGCTGCTAAAAACATTTGTAAATTATTTAAAATATATTAAAAAAGAGAAAGCACTTTTAAATTGTAATAATATTTCACAATATTCCTGTCTATACTGTATTTATTGTACTGTTTATATCAAGTAAATGCAGCCTTGGCGAGCATAAGAGACTATTACAAATAGTTAAACATTAATAGACAAATATTAAACCTATTGAATGGTAGTTTATTACATTTATAGTGTATTATGAGTAAGGAATAATTGACAATGGGCCATTGAATTATTAGAAAATAATGATTTTAATAAAATTAATTCTCTGGGACAATAAAAATACATTTTTCAAGATTTAGCAAAACCTGTACACTTTTTATTTTTTTTATTTTTTTTCCTGTACACTTTTATGTTTTGATTTGTTTAATTTCTCCCATCTCAGGTCACATGCTTGAGCCAGACCCTGACATAAGGCCAGATATCTACCAGGTGTCATATTTCGCCTTTAAACTGGCACGGAAAGAATGCCCAGTACAGAATATCCACGTAAGACCTGCTCATTCATACTGTAAAGATCTCTCTCCCTGTTTGATATTAAACCTATTGAATGGTAGTTTATTACATTTATAGTGTATTATGAGTAAGGAATAATTGACAATGGGCCATTGAATTATTAGAAAATAATGCACACCATAATGCATATATATATATATATATATATGTATACAATATTACCTTCATATAACAAAAAGAAAAAAAAACGTTTTTATTTTAATAAAATTAATTTTCATTCTCTGGGACAATAAAAATAAATTTTTCAAGATTTAGCAAAACCTGTACACTTTTTATTATTTTTATTTTTTTTCCTGTACACTTTTATGTTTTGATTTGTTTAATTTCTCCCATCTCAGGTCACATGCTTGAGCCAGACCCTGACATAAGGCCAGATATCTACCAGGTGTCATATTTCGCCTTTAAACTGGCACGGAAAGAATGCCCAGTACAGAATATCCACGTAAGACCTGCTCATTCATACTGTAAAGATCTCTCTCCCTGTTTGCTGTGCTATAACTACACAAGCTACCATGTGCATTTGCCCTGATCTTCTCACCCGTTTTTCACACTCTACAGGGTTTTTGTTCTTTATTTCAGCACATACTTCTTAATTCATGCCTATCCCTAGATATCGTAAGTGCTTGCACAGGAAGTGGAATGTGGCTCGTGGCTGCCAGCTGGCACACATCCAGTGGCCCCTCCCACTCTGAGCAGTATTGATAGCATAATGGAAGCATTGAGTCATGATCAAAGACATATTAACATCGACACCCGCAAATGCTGTTAAGAGTTCAATACAGGAATGACGATACAATTTCAAGGTTATTTTGCAGTTTTTCCTGACATAGGGATGTTTGGCTCAGACTGCAGACTGCGTCTACAAATAAATATCAAAGCTAATCATGTGCTTTCATTACACATTTGTGTTTGTGCCAACAACATGCACATCTTTTGTTGTTGAGGACGTCATCTTCACATATTTTTACACATTCATGGAAATTAAATTATGTACTTAAGAAGGATGATTTCATAGGATGTGACACTGGCAACACCTCTATGCGTAACTCTCTTAAATAACAATACAATTAAATTAATTAAATAACTTTATTTAATTCACTTATAACTTTGAAGTCAATCTGAAATAAAAAAATGACACTGAAATACTTTCTTCATGTTACTGGTCTTCATGCACAATTCATTGGAGTGTGTTAATATTTTGAATTCACTTTTATTTTTATATTTGTATTTATTTTAGTAATTTTGTTATGCACTTTTGTAATTCTTATTAGTTTCTATGGTAACACTTTACAATAAGGTTCCATTAGTTAATATTAGTTAATGTATTAACTAACATGAACGAACCATGAACAGTACATTTATTAATCTTTGTTAATGAAAATACAGTCGTCCGTTGTTAGTTCATGTTAATTCACAGTGCATTAACTAATGTTAACAAATACAACTTTTTGATTTTAATAATGCATTAGTAATGTTATAATTAACATTAACTGAGATTAATAAATGCTGTATAAGTATTGTTCACGCTTAGTTCATGTTAACTAAAGAAGTTAACTAATGAACCTTATTGTAAAGCGTTACCAAAATGGTTTTAGTAATTTTAAAGGGGACATAGGATGCCCATTTTCCACAAGTCGGTATGATTCTTTATTGTCTTCATGAAATGTCTGCACCATACTTTGGTTATAATTTCTCAATGATCATGTAAAATAACACTTTTTACCATATCAAAAACAGCTGTGTTCACAGCGACTCGTTTCGGTGCATGTCTCTTTAAATGATAATGAGCTACTGCGCACCCCGCCCCTCTCTCCCGTGGGCCGTCGACACAAGACCCGTGAATATATCCGTATATGGCTCAAAGGTGGTCTTATTCAAATAGCTAGCTCTCTACATAGAAACTGGCTGCAGGTTGATACAGCTCGCTGGATGACACAGTTTCAGTCTCAGACAGCCAATAACAAACTGGCTGCATGCTTTCTTTTCAGCTTTTTTTGTGCTGGCGAACACGCCAAAACCTAACTAAATGCAAAACAAGCTAAAAAAGTTATATTTAAGTTATATTTAAGTTTTTTAAGTGTACGTTTTTTTATCAAATTTTTATATTTTATTTTATTTCAGCTTTATTTCAATTAACTATAAAAATTGTGTTTGTGTGTGAAAATGTGTGTTGAATTTCCTGTTTCACTGGAATGAGTTGATAATGTTTCATGTTGACTAAAGACAACCAAATACTAAATGCAACAATATCCCTCTCATTCCACTAGAATTCACCCATTCCAGCAAAACTCCCAGAGCCAATCAGAGCCAGTGAGGCCGTGGCTAAGAAGAGTCAAAACAAAGCCAGGTGAGGCTGTCATTTATCTGTGTGGTCTCAGCGGTTTGAAGTGACTTTGCATTTTATTACATACTTTTTTCTTTAGTTTTAGGATGCATATAATTTTTTATAGAGTGGTAGTTCTGATTCGACTTGAACTTTTCTGGTCATTCAGGCTCTCTGATCCAATCCCTACGACTGAGACATCCATAGCGCCACGGCAGCGTCCCAAGGCTGGTCAAGCTCAACCAATCGCAGGCATCCTGCCCATCCAACCAGCCCTCACCCCACGCAAAAGAGCCAGTGCACCTGCAGGACCCAGCCAGCCAATCAGTGAGTGTTCATACATCCACCTTCATCCAAAATCAAACACTATGTAGGCATCCACATTGTAACAAACTCATACGTGTGGCTTCAGTCCTTCATGCACGCTCAGTTTTTTTTCTCAATTTTATTCTCTTCTCTCACTCGTTGCATTGACCGGCATGTGTCTTTGGCTGACACACGCGGCTCTAGTATTCCCACTGGCTCAATCAGTTTGTCATTACAGAGAGCTTTTAAAACCTCACTAATGAGCCTGAGCTATTGAGCCCCTGACACACTCAATCCTACCGAGCTGTC